GGTGTTTAACTCCCCGTTTTACAAGAGGGGCCCCGGGGAGAAATTTCGAGAAGGATATTTCTTTCTTTTTGGAAAAATTTACAGGTTTCAAATGGTGAAACCCACGGGTCGAAGTCCCGAGAGCTACAAACTCCAATATATAGGGGGAGGTAACAAGGTCTCTCAGTACGTTGGCCGAAAGCCACACGTTATGCATTTGATTAGGTTTAACTATGCTAGATAGTTAAACAGATCCATTTACCCCTAGGCGGCTTGGTCGCAATAATAGTAAATAAAACACTTCTGGTTTTGAAGCATAAAAGTTAAGGTGTTAACTTTGAGCCCTGGTCTTGGGCTGTAAGTGTCCTTTGGATAAGGAACTTAGTATTGGTGACTCTTTGAGTCGAACGTCTTCCTCTGACGCTAGAGCTACGGCAGCCCCGCTGCCGACAGGCTTATTGAACACATAAGTGTTAGCGAGATTCGGATAGAAGTAGCGAGTGTCATCAGGATCAGTCTTGCTCACAAGTTCGTACCCGAGAGCAACATTTACCTTGAACGCACTTGCCTGAGTCAAAAGAAAAAATTCTCAAGCTTATCGTAGAAATCAGTAGCCTCAATACCCTCATATAGGTGTGATTCCATGTGATTACCATTGTAAAAACGGTACTTAGGATCAGCCTTGTAGTCAGGCGACAAGTGTTTCTCAAGGGTTTCAGTCGAAACATTGTACTGCTTAGCTACCAATTTCTGGTTGATTGGGCGCGAAACGTTGCTTACATAAACCATCTTACCCGTTCTACCACGCACCTTAACACGGTAGCTACTACCCCATTTGATAGCTTGAATATTTAATCTCTTTAATCCTTCGAGCTCGTATGCAAACATGTTGCCTATATATGCTTGGCTATATTCTTCTTCGTAGATATGACTTTATAATATTTTGATCATGTATCAGGATCGACTTTATATCTTAGTCATTACAAAAGATTCTGAAATTAATCAATTCAAATATTTGGGTTATACCTTTTTGGAGGTTTTAAGCCATTGTCATTGACTATATTGGGATTGACTTTTTATTTGAGAAAAAAATAATTAATTAAGTTCGGTTTCGTTGTTAGGTTCATCAATAAGTTCGGTTTTGCTCTGTTCTTATCGTCGTAGCTCTTTTGATACGACAGTCGAGTTTCACGTGTGCGCTGATAGTAGCGCTTCTGCGCAGCCTTAATGCGCTCTTTGTTAGCGAGGTATTGCTGAGGTGAGTACGCCATTTTTTGTATATTACTAACTTTATATTTATCAGTAATAAAACAAATATTACTTGATTCAATCCTGGAGGTGTGGCGCGCGCTCTGTTGATCTCTCATTCTTTAGTTTCACCGGTAGCTTGACGGATTTCTCTAGATGCTCTTAAGTGCTATCGTTGAGTGGACGATCAGAGATACCTTTCGATGCCATGATTAAGCAGATGAGTGCATGTAAGAAGATCTCAATTAGAAAATAAGCAAAAGGATTGCAACTCATATGGAAGATATTTATTGCAGCATCGCGTAAATTTTCCCCACAATTTCTTTCAATCCTTCAAACGACGGTATGGTATCCGCTTGAGGAAGAACAGTCTCATGCTCTCTGACCTTCTCGTCGCCACTGATCAAGAACTTCCACTCGAGAAAATTCGTCACAATGCCATACGTCACAGTGAGATCTTCGACATCACAAGAGCTTCGAGCCCCGTCACATTCTGAACCATTCCTTGCAGCATATCTTCACGCTTTGCTTGGACAAGTGAAATTCTCTTGGTGCCACGCTTGAGCACGAACTCGAATCGACCTTTCAGGAGCACGTTCTTCCCAACCACGTCTTCTTCGACTAATATGCGGACGTTCTTAAGCAGACGACTGACTGTCTCAAGGATCGGGGCGATAAAAAACAATCTCTTGGCTTCTTTTTCATCCGACATTTTTCCATAGAGTTCCCGCAAGTCACGAATACGAGCGAGGGGTAGCTCGATGTCAGCATCAGGTATATCGCTTGGTTGAAGGTCGAAAGAATCGTCGAAGTTGTAAATAGGTTTGATATCTTCCCAACAAAGACTCGAATAGCCCACAGTCTTGTCGACATCGTGATTTTTCCGCTTTTTGCTTGTTTTCTTGGTGTCTTCACTCGTGGTCTTCTGGTTCGCCTCTTGATTCTTCTGACGAATCATTGCATTGATCGCAGCCCATCGTTTGAGACGTTCGGGGTGCCGGTGTATTGTAGTTGGTGGCAAAGAGGGTGCCACGCCGATTGCCATGGCTGCAGAGCGGTCGTTTTTACCTTTCGGAACCACCACCAGCACGTGAATTTGCTCACTGGATGGAAGCTCCATGTTGTTCTTCGTGTAAAACCACGTTGTTAAGGTCTTTGAGCCCAGAATCGGTTCTCCGGCCGTCAGCGCATATATGTAGTCATCAGATTCTCCTTCCACCAGCTTCAGAGCAGCCCGATGTTCGTCTGGGAGCCACTGAAAACTTTCCTCCTTCATCTCCTCCGCAGTAGGGCGGTAAACAGGGACGACCTCTTTGCCGCTCTCATCTTCGACGGGCTGCTTCGCCAGGAAGAGATGCAGCTTGTCTGCATCAACATCTTTGAAGTCATTCGGCTTCTCCGCCTTGATCGCCTTCTTCAAGTCTCCCACCAGCTGGCTCGCGTCGATGTCCACAGGGAAAGCGCTTCCAGCCACACCAACGATCGCACAAACAAGCTTGACCATCTTTTCTAGAGACGGCAAGTTCTGGAATGAGGAAGAAGGAGGGAGAATTTCTGGCGTACTTAAGCGGAAAAGAAAGCGCGTGACAATGATTTTCAACCAATGATGAGACGCCACGTCGCGCTGGTCCGAACTAATCCTTGAGGTAAAAATCTGCCAGCGTATTGCTTTTATCAATACACCCCGTTTTCGCGGGGGTGGACCATATAGGATTTGCAAATAAATCAGACTTTAGCTTACAAACTCTAGTTCTTTTAGATTCAGGACAATCGCATCCGTAAGTTTATCAAAGGCTCGAGGGCGCGGAAACGGGGTGC